AAGCTAGACTTTGGTAGAACATGTTTAAAATAGTACAGTGTGAACTGCAATTTCTTTCTGGCTGGTATAAATTTATTAAGTAATATTTTTTCGTACTAAAAAGACTCAAATATCTTTTTTAATTAAATCTAACAGCCAATGGGAGCACATATGCTACAACCTCTGCTAAATGTTCTTTTTTTTTTTTTTTTTTCAGGTGCAGAGCCAGATTTTTTTTCTCAGAAAGCAAAGCCACTAGAACTGCATGTATTACAAAAACATACCGGTACTATTCACTGCGTGTCTGACAATTGTATAGTAGTTCTGTCAACCAAAGCATAAATATGTGTTTCTCTGTACATAAAATTTCACACGATTTGTTAATATTAATGTATGATAATAAAAACTTGATAATATTTTTCTGGATTTTTGCACTTTATTTGTATCATCGTCGTATGAGAAGTAATCTTGTCCTTATTTAGAGATATTGAAACCAATCCAGGGCAACAAACTAGTTTATCCAAACAGACACAACACTGACTCTACATATTTGCAGATCTGATTTGTATACTTCCTTGTCATTTTACCTGTTGTACTGGTTTGGTGCTATCTGGTTTCCTTGCTGAGAATAATGCTGACCTGGATGGAGAGTGCTATAAACTTGAAAATGCCATAGAAATAACGTTTTCCAATTTATGTCCATGCAACTTTAGAATGATAACTAGCAAAGGCAGTGTCATTCATGACTTGTTCAGATTTAGTACAATGTGTTGTACATATGCAGGTGCATTTCGGTCATGATCTGCTTTGAATGTATATGTCACTCAAATATGGTATTCACCTATGGGTCCTAAAATCAGCACATTTCTTGGAGTCTCTCTCCAGACCTTTAATTCATGACATTTACTGTACCATATCAACAGTAATATTTTATATTATTGTATTGCATAGGAACCGAAAACTGACAAAGACGAAGACAATTGTGAGAAAGTTAACGAGTATCTAAACAACCCACCACCACCTGGTACATCTAGTGGCAGTCGTTCTGGAGGTATACCACCTGAACTATCTGCTTTAGGAGGTTTGTTTATTAGCTGGTTATAACATTTTTAGTCATGTGACAAATTGTTTAAGCAAGAAAAAACACATTTACATGTATGCGAATTATAAATCTCTCGGTGTTCACACAAGATCCATTTGAATATACACTGTTTCATGTGAATTGTAAACACGTTTTCATTTTGATGATGGCTTAGGTTTTTAAGGATTGTGTTGTGAGAGGTACTGACTATACTCTATTGTTGATTAATTTTATTGATCAATTCATGAATAATAATGAACAAACTTGTATTATTTGATACATATTATTAATGAGTAAACGATGTTTAATACCATTTTGTGTTCATGAATATAAATGATGTGCTGTCATCATCTTTATAAATGATTGAAACACTTCACATGATTGTTTATGTCAACAGTTGTTCAGAAATTATGTCACATTTGTTCAGTACCTCTAAATTCTACTGTGCAAGGATTGCAACCTCTAACTTTTAATGAAATTTGTTCGACTGGTTATCATTTTTTGTCCTAAAAAACAATTAAAAATTAAATATAGATTTAAATATAATATGGACTTACATTTTGTATTTTGTTACATATAAGGTGAAGGTGGTCTTGGAATGCTGGGTAATATGGATCAGCAACAGTTGATGCAGTTACTTGGTGGAGGTGGCTTAAGTGCTCTAGGTTGGTACCAAATACTTTTATTTGATAAACATTCATTATTTATTGGCTTTTGTTTTGGATATTTTGATTTCGTCTCATTTTTATGTTTGTAAACATTTGTTGTTCAGATTTAATATGCACATAAACACAATATCTTGATGTACATTATGTTTACAGGTTATTTTTCATAAATTTCACATTTCAAGCCCAATAAAAATAAAAGTGAATGTTTACTTTGTCTGCGAAATGTATTCACCATTTCCAAAAAATGAACTTGTATTCTTATTATGAAGACCAAAGAGTAGTTTTGAAGATTGGATGAGAAAGTTTGATCTCATTTCAGTGTGGCTATCAGCTTTAGACTGAATATTATCTCATCATGGATTAATCATATTTTCAGGTGGAATGGGAGGTTTAGGTGGACTTGGTTCTTTACTCAGTGAAGGAAGAGCTAGTAGTGCTCAGTCTACCTCTTCATCTGTGTGAGTATTCATTCATCTAATCATGTAAAAAAATTGCACTTAATTGCAATATTAATTTGTGCCTTGTTCATGTGACAATAATGATATACAACTTCTAACTGCCAGAAATTTTACTCCTTTTTACCAGTGTTTTACCTGGCGACTGTAAATCCATACAAGTTGAATTTTATTTTACTGTGGTTCTAGTACTCTACATTGCAGTAATTGTGAATTAAACCAGGCAGTCCTAGTTGTGTGATGTTACTTTCCCTAAGAGAAGTGACCAAATCAAACTGGTTGGTTTTCTGCGGGGCTCCACCAACACCCGGGAATTCAGAATAAGCTCCTTGGCCTGCTGAACTTCGAAATGCTGAATTTGAGTTTCACGATTGAAAAAATAAATAAAGTTACAGTCTCATTCTATATCACACCATTGTTGTTAATATCGTACTTTAAAATGACAACACTCCCAACTCGCGCCGTACTACGTAATTGTACCATCGTGTTTGTTTTGAATATTTTGTTCTGAAATCCGTTGTTCGTACCGCCAATCACATGTGAATCACTACTCCTGGGGAAGCTCGGGACCGAGGAAAACTACGGTATTGCCGAGCTGGTTCGGGCATTGGCGGACCCCACAGGAAACCGACTAGTTTGATTTTGGTCACATCCCTAATACTATTGTTCTTTCTGTTCAGTCCATCTCGTGTTCAATCTTCTCCTGGTGGACAGAGACCAACTAGTAGTAGTAGGACAGCTAGTGGTACCGGTACTGCCAGTAGTGGCAGTGGTACAACTACCAGCCAGTCGCAGCAACGTCCTGCAACTGCTGCAGCAGCCCTGCCAACACAATCACCAAGACAACCAATACAGCTCAGTGAACTTCAGAATATACTTGGAACCATGAACAGTGAGTTGATTTTATTTCATAATTGTTGTGTAAAATGACTACGCCTGTAGTTTTCACATTAAATGTTATGAATACATACATTCTCATTCATTATATTATTATGGATAATTGATTAAAATAATTTTCCTTTTCCACAGTCCCAGCCAATGAAGGAAACCAAGGTCATCCTTCTGGAACAAGTAAGTTTTCTTTTTATTAAACGGGGACTTATAATTCGGTCTCCGTCCATGCGTCCCATCGTACGGAGTCATATTTCAGAATCCTTTGAACCGATTCCGTTCATTTTTTGCATGTGCTATGGTTTAGCAATACGATTCAAAATGGCCGACTAGCAGCCATGTTGTTTTTTGAAAATGTTGTATTTTAGACATGCTCTGTCAGTTTTCACATACTTTATACATGTTAGGATACATGTCCATGACAATTTGTTTCAAAATCGGATCAAGGATGGCAGATTGACAGCCATCTGACTTTTTGGCCTTACTACTATATTTCTAAGATTTATGTACCATTTTCATTCATATTTGGCACATACATCATACATGTCACTTCGTTTCTTAATCAGATCAAAGATGGGCAAATAACGGCTGTTTTTATTTGTGGCCATATTACTATATCTCTGTCACCCATGTATCATTTTCATTGATATTTAGCATGTCATGACTGGATACATGTACATGTCGATTCAATTTGCAATTTGATCAAATTTGGCCGACTGGCGGCATCTTGTTTGTTTAAAATGTGATAACTTGGACATGCTTTCACTTGTGATCTATGTTTTTCTTTGCTATGTCTTAAACTGGAGAGGTCGTCATGCAACATGTATTCGAATTTGATGTAAATAAACAATATGTTGTATACGCCTAGGACAATGGATTGGATGTATGGGGAAAAACTTGCTGAATAAATAAACAAAAAACAATGGCTAGATGCATGAAGTGATTGTCACAAGCATTGCGTTAATCACGCCGTGGGAGAGTCAAAACGAGTTCCCTCATCATTCCTGAATTAGCTTAGATACTTAAAAACAGAAGAACCAACAACAAGCCTTAGGGGTAGATTTTCTGAAACACCTAAATCCGAGGAGAAAATTTTAGGAGGGTGGTAAGAATACAATTCTTGTTTATTCACCGGAAGTAAACATGCTATTTGGTCATTGTTGTCAACTGCAAGAAGTCTGTATCAGTGTGTGGTGGAAGGGAGACAACTCGCGGTGTCTCCAATGCGGCATGTTCGCAACTCTTTTCAGTGCAAACTTAAAATCCAAAGTGGTTTCCAAGTGTTCGAAGTAATATGTAACAATTAACATGATTGGCTGGGTTTGCTCTAAGTGAGCTGCCCTGTCGCCCAGCGGAACCAATGGCTTGGACGTAGACTCGGAAGTCGTTAGCGATGTCAGCCTAGACCCCGGCTACTTTACTTTCAGTTGAAAATTAAAATTCTCATTCTCATCCCTGTATCCACTCATACACAAATTTGCAAGGCTAACTGAACTCGCTCAAGTCAATGTTATTCACTGATTTGCAAGGCTAATTGAACTCACTTGAGTCAATATCTGTTCACCCAGTCTCATACACTGATTGCAAGACTAACCTAACTCATTTGAGTCAGTTTCATTCACTGATAACATGCTTACTATTTTGTTCCAGACATTGATCTGTCTCAGGCTATATCCCCTGAAGTGATGGCTCCAATACTATCTAATCCTGATATAAGGCAAAGATTAATACAGCATTTACCTGAAGGTGAATCCCTACCTCAGGATTCACAACAACTCAACAGCACTCTACAATCATCACAGTTCAAACAGGTAAAGTTTGGATTGTCTATAAATTCCTCAACCTTATTCAATGTACATTCTATGAATTATCTCTTTTTGCTTTATGTGGTATTTTTTGAATGGTTGTGTGATTGTGATCAGAAATTATGCTGAATCTAATATTTCAAGTTCTCATGTTCTCTATAACAGGCAATGAGTTTATTTGGTGCTGCACTCCAGTCTGGTCAGTTAGGGCCATTGATGGGTCAGTTTGGTTTAAATCAAGGAGCTGTGGATGCTGCAAATAAAGGAGGTAAGTTCGTATGAAGAGAGATGTAAGTGTCCTAAGTTTTTAGCTCTGCTGTCGACTTTGTCGAGCTGAGCTTATCATATGAGTGATTGTCCGCCGTCTGTCGTCGTCCGTGTCAACGTTTTACTTCATGTTTTCATTCTCCTGTCTATGTAATTTTTTCATCTCTAGAAGGCGCTACACTGACTGTATGTGACTGAATGTATAAAATCTGTATATTTTTCTTTTCATCCAGACTTAGAAGCATTTGTTGGTGCTATGCAGAGTAAAGATAGCAAGGAGCAAGATAAAAAGAAAAACTCTGGAAAAGACGATGATGATGCAATGAGCCTAGACTAAGAACAAACTACTAGTATCGCATTTTTATCTGGGTATTAACATTCTTTAGCAGTTGCCTGGGCACCCCTCATTTTCAAAATGTTTGTATAGAACCTAGGCATACTTTAATTTAATAAGAATATATTGCTTGGGTGCTTGTTTTGGTGGGTGTTTAGCCAGTATTATTCCTTTAACATTAACAAATGGTTGACATAAACAGAAAATGTTTCTCAACCATTGGAGAGAACATGAAGCATACATGATTCAATTAATAAATATATACCATAATGTTATAATATAGTGCATCAATTTCTTTTGGAACGGGAAGAAGGTTGTTAGTCCCC